TCTGATGTTGTTTTGTGCTTTCTATTGATTGCTTATGGCTTTAGGTGTATTTTGCAAAAAAAATGGCGCAAAACACGTAGAAGGCGCACGCCCAGGGTCCCCCGTTTTCTTTTATTTTTACTTTTGCGCACGTTTGACAATTTGACTTGGCGCACGTGATGAGTGATCAACTTGCGCTGGAGGTGGCCAAGACTCAGTTCTTCACCCGCCTTACTGCCTGTGGCGCGTCCAGCTACTTGACTTCAGACGCTGATGTCGCGCAATGGCAGTTAGCGTGGAGCCGTCCTCAGCCTGGGAGGTGGCGAGAAAGGCTGGGAAAATGTGAAGACTTGGACGAGGACGAGCGCACAGAGACTGGCGGCATTATGGCAGTTCTGTTGATGTCATGTCGGGGGTGTTTGGTCAGGAGCGTGTCGGGGGGCGTTGCCTCACAGAAAGTTCTCATCTACCCCGTCAATGAGGCTTTTGAAGTTATCTGCTTCGCTGCGTGAACAGCCTTTGCATGCTGCTTTTCCTGCCAGGGCAACCTTCATTGGTGTGTGCAACCTGGCATAAAAATAGTATCAAAAATAGGGGCACTCAGATTCAAAAGTCTCTTGATGCAGCAGCTGTAGCTGCTGATCTCCGGGCTGAGTTTGAGTTGAAAAGGTTCCGTCTCAGGTGCTCAAAGATCATAGCAGGAGATGACAGTTTTGGGAGTCGGGCTCGCGCAGTATAGCTTACGCATGCGCATGCAAGTGTGCAGTTTGGACTGAGGTTCTTTGTTTGTCATCCACATCGTGCCATTGAACTGGCAGACTCCAGCGAAGAACACCCAGTGGCTCGGAACATTTCAGAGCTGTCAGAGGAACGCCTTTGTCAATGTGTTGGTATGCATTGGTATGCACAGTCAGCATGTTGAAGCCACTTAGTGTTTCTGATCGCTTGCACTAAGAGAGCCAATTACAGTGAAGTCATTCGGACCCGTGCTTTTCTGCTTGACCAATGCAGCAGAAATTCAATCAAGTCAATCAAGTCTTACCGGGCACACATTACGTCAGTGCTTTATATTCCTTTACAAGTCAATGGATCTTAGTATTCTTAGTCTTTCCGAAATTAGGCCCTTGACAACAGCACATTTCGTTGCAAGTTGTGTTCCGTCTTCAAGAATGAGAACGTAGCTTTTCTGCGACTGACAGCGCTATGCAGTTCTCAGGATGCACCACGCATCGTTTGCCTGGATTCTGCGTGGGAACCTGTATCTTGGCGGCTTCGGCAGGGGGAAACGTGGGAAGCACAGGACAGTATTCAAAAGGTAAAAATGGACGTAGGAATGGATCGGAGCAAGAGACAGGCAGGATTAGTCATCCATCCCGACAGATTAGATGGAGTTTTCAGTGCCTGTGATCTCAGGTGCCAAAAGATGACCAGATCAAGCTGCTGAAGGCAGTGCAGTGTCAGCTGAACAGACCGTGGCAGTTGAAAGCTACTTCCTTGTTGTTGTACTTAACCTTGGATATGGCGCCGATGTATTCCTAAACAAAGTTAGTGGAAGGGCTACCTGCGCAGAGAGCTCTTCAACAACCCGCTGGGCGGTGCAGCAGCTCGGCGGGCACTTCTTCCAGCAGTTGAGTCAACGTTTGAGGGGTACCGGTTACCGATCCGTACAACTCATATCAGTACATCTGCAGCTGGTGAGTTCTTGCAGGGCTTCAAGCTGGGAGCCGATGGTGTGGTGGCTGCGGCATCCATCAGAGCATGGAAGGCGGCAAGAACCTCAGAGCCACCAAGGGAGCCAATGTAGCAAACATTTCAGATGCTCGTGCTGCAAGTGCTGTCCTAAGTGAGAAAGCCCTTTGCGAGTGCAAGGCCGTAACTGGCCTTGAGAAGATGAAGGCCATTGACGCAGACGTTCCAAAGCAACAGCGCCTTGTTTGAACAATTTTTGATCTGCAAAAGCTCGCTGGTGTAGCCAAAGCTGCCTCTGTGTATAAGAATGTGCTCCCACAAAGACCCACAGCTGATTCAATGGAGCCTGGCCATGTCTAAGCATCACGCTTTCTGTGTTTGAGCTACCCATGGGCTTTTTGGAGGAACGTCTATGATTGCTGCTAGGCGGCACGAGGACTTGATCGTCTTGTGTCAGAACAGCATATACGTCGACCTACGCTGACTTCAGGTGGCTTGTATGTCCTGGAGTTTCTGCTCTATTTGCTTCGTACACCTGATCAGTCATGGACTCAGTGGATGCTTGTACAGCGCACAGCTGCATCTGCAAAAGATGTGCTTCCAGGTTTCCATCGCTGGGGCTGGAGTCGCATCAGCTGCGCGTCCCAAAGCACACCTTTGTCAAGCTTTCTGGAACATTTTGCGGTAAGATCTAATTTGGCTTGATTGGCATTTGATGCCAAGGGAATGGTTCGACCAGCCCATCATCTGCCATCGCACCTCGCCTGAGCAGAAGAATCTGCAAGATGGGCTGAACACACATTGCTCGCTGCGTAGTTGAGCCACATTGGTGTGAAAGCAGATCGTGTTGTGGTAAAGCTGCCGCAGTATGCATCTGCCCAAGCACGTCAAATGCCGAGGCCGTGCTGAAATGAGGCGCATCGTGCAGCGCAGCTGCCCTCAGAGGGATTGCGCAGCATATGCAACGTGCTAGGCTCGCGCGTTTCCTCACGAGATCCTGTGAGGTTTGCTGACGGAAGGCCGCAAGTCCGGACAGGTTCGGAGAAGCTCGTGTTGAGCTAGTGGGTGGTGTAGAGTGGCATCCAAAGGCAGATGTGGCAATGCTTCTGCGTGACAAGCCTTTGCTTGATTATGTTCGGGAGGCAGGGTTTCGTGGGAGCTTGCAGAAACGAAAGTCCATGCTATTGAACCTTGGAGGCTCTCACAAGCGAGCCTCCGCCAGTACCTCCGGCTCCACTGCCTGCTACGGCCGAGCCTGCATTGACAGCACCAGGAGACGGAGTGGCTGGGCTGGCAAGTAGCAAGACTTCACTGAGAGCAACATGTGCAACTCTAGCATCTCTAGCATAGCCTTTAGATTTCTGATTTCCAATTTGGAAAATTCTAGAACAACATCAAACGACAACAAATCAGCATAGAATAAGTTGTAATCAACAAGAAATGGAATCAGTCCAAATGAAGATCTCCTCTTGTTTCCTACAATGCACCAAATAAATGGATGTGAGAAATTGAAAGCATAGCTTTTTCAGATTCGCCAAAACATTATGGGTTGTCTAAGGAGTAAGCACCGATAAAGAAGCACAAACGCTAGCACCATGGCCTATAATTTTCAACTCTTTTGTATCATTCCCTTTGAAAGGTTGGGAAGTGCAAGTGTCAAACAGCAATGCAGGAAACACGAAAAGTAAACATACTCTCAACTTCATCAGGAAGAGTACGAAGGTCATTGAAATTCAAGAGTATTTGATTTCATGATTGAAGGTCATAGCAAGCAAGGTTCAGTCAAGCGTTCGTACAAGAAAAGCGATTGTCATAGGCAACCGCTGGTTTCTGACAATTAAGTTCCATCGAACATGCATACATGATTTCGGTGGCAAAGTCATGTTTCCGCGAGATTGCAACAGAAAATAGTGCACGAACATCTCCATACCCTTTGTTTTCTTTCTTCATGGATAGATCTGAACTTTTTGATGGCTGATAATACAGCTTGTGATCGAGAATGACAAATTATACCGACCAATGCGTGATCTAGTTGCCTTTTGATGATCGTTACATTTTTTGATTATAATCAATGCCTGACCCCATCTCATGCGGACGTTGCAATCATAATATCGTAGTGAAAAAACCGCCTTAGCGCCTCCGTGTCAGAGCATGTGGGTCTGATATGGTCTGATGTGGCAGCGGAGACTCTGAGCCTGTAAATCACAGGAGAAGGGACAATGCACGCGTTCCCTTGCAGGGGCCATTCGGCCGTCACAAGCAGTTTAGAGTCGCTCATGCATTTGCTTCACGGAAGTCTCCACGTGTCTGTTTAGGGCAGCCACGGTCCAGTTGAACCTCTCTTTGAAGAATGTTCGTGAGAGCAGCCGTGAGGTACCATGGCGACCTCCGCAGAATGTGATGCCAGAACCACACTCTCTGCCGCCAGCTCACGGCGCGCATGGAGACTGGGGCTTTCATTTCACTTCCTGGCAGACGCAGCCGAACGCACGGAGTCTTGTCGAATTTTTCCGGCTAAAGAAGGCTAATGGCAAAGACGGTCTTGCACGTTCATCAATGAACACTACTGGCAATGCTGAGGAATAGTGAGTGGGAAGACTGGACGACCTCAAACGGCGACGCCGACTGGGGGCCCCCGTCCAAGCGCCCGAGCCCCAGATTTGTCGCGCATTTCACATCATCTTGCCATACTTCAGGGCATTTCTTGGACGCTTAGGTGCAAGGCTGGATGCCGCGGGCGCTTAACAGATGCATTGAGTTTCATCCACTGGCCCTGTCAAGGTGAGCCTTCAGGCTTTGGTGTAGAGCGTAAGTCGAGGGCGATTAGCCAAAACAACAGCCCGCAGACGTCCGCTTTCTGTATTCTGCAGCAACGAGCCCATTCTGTGGACTTGATGCGTGGACTAGCTTTCATGTGTTGCGCATTGCATTGATGCTGGACTGCTGTTTGGAAATGAAGGGGGGGAAGGGAAAGAGTATTTGAGTAGCACAGCCGCATGATCAGACGCAAAGACACTTCTGGCCTTTCCAATCATTTTGCAGGGCCGCTTAGTAACTTCAGCCGCGGCCCCCTTCAGCCAAGGTCCTCTAGCAGGTCAAAGGTAAGAGGCCTAAAGAAGAGTTTCGAGCCCGTTCAGATAGAACTTGATGGCTTGTTAGCGTGCCCGCCACAACAGAGGAACAGTACTCTGGCCGGACAAGTCTTGTGAAAGCATGCGAAAGCATTATACACATCATATCTACTCCGTGGCAGCAACGTCTATGACTACCTAAAGCTCAATGCGTGGCAGCTTCACTGTCAGTGTGTGACATCAAACGGCAAGTTTAGCCCCTGCCTGTCAGGATGATGCCTGCCAACTTGACGTGTGGCTGCCAGGTGGTCACGACATGGTCACTGGAGCATGATTCTGTGAACATGCGGAGCCTTAGACTACCTGCGCGACACCTGCCCATACCTGTCCCAGGCCAAGGCAAGTGTCATTCGTGCAAAGAGCTGATTCTGGGATGAACGCCTAGACTAAGACTGGAAGAGATGCCGACCCCGATGACCCGCTTTCCCATCTGACAGGAGTATCCACGAAGAGTTTTCTGAGGACTTTCTACCCATTCGCCGCAACCGCCAGAACTCGGACCAGCGCACTGGCGTGAGCAGCAGTCTGGAAGCAAAGCCTGAGCACATTAGCGCAAGGGACCAGGAATGCTTTGAGCGAGCTGCATAAAAGCCTTTGTGCCCAGTGCTTGACAGCTACAGTGCCTATCAAGCTTGATCAGGTGGGCTTTCCAGGCCAGACGGTACACTGCGCATGCGCTTCAGGTTCAAGACCTTCTACAACGAGCTTAATCACCTCTTGCGCGAGTACCGGCGGGTTGCGGCCACAAATGGAGAAGTTTTGTCAGTTGCCGAGCTGCTCCCCCTACCAACGTGAGGTCACAAGCTTGGTCAAGCGCAAGGCTCAGACGAGACTGATGCGACAGGATGTGACAGGGAGCCTGGGTGGAGAGTCTGCCAACAGCCACTGATGCGGCAGTACGGGAAAGGTCCTCGCACAGCGCATCCTGTCAAGTGCGATTGCTAAAATCCCCTTCCTTGTAGACTCCTCCACCATTCCCTCCGACTACAACAGAAGTAGTATAGCTTTATTCCTGCGTCATGCGCAATTCCTCCTTGGCTAAGCAAGGGAAATGCGTCTACTGCACTCAGCATCATGCAAGTAATCACGTGCGCAAAGCTTGGTTCCGGATGATCGGCCGGATGATCGGCAATATCTTGCAGTGAATACGCGATTGCAAGACCTGGCATGTTCCCTGCCTTTGAGCTTTCTCAGAGAGATTTTCTTCAGTCTGGGTGGCATGTGCCAGACCCACACATTTATCCACAGATTTACATGGCGATGGACAGGGTAGTGAAGCTCTCCGCATGACAAGGCCAATCACTGCGAATCTTCTGAAGCCTCATCTGGACCACCTCGAGTTCCAGCTGAGGCCACTGCACTGAAGTCAGTGAATCCCAAATACGTGGATTTTGCCAGGCCTGGAATGGTCAGTTTGACTTGGACCTCGATGAACATAGCCGGGGCCTTCCAGCTCCAGAACTTGCCACTCCATTCTGAAAGCTTGTCAGGATGGCTACTTGAAATCTGTTTGGGATTCCCTGGATGAATTGGAGCAGCCAGGATCCAAGATGTGCCAAACGGCCTGCTGTGGTGTTCCCGCTTGCTCTGAAAGTGTGAAGAATTACTTCTAAACAAGAGTCACTGCCAAATAAATTAGGTCGGGTGGTATGTGGCGTCCAATGGGAGGGGTTACACAGCGTAGTGGTGTGAGGGTGGTCATAATCCAGCTCTGATCTTAGCACAAAGTCTGGAACGACCTGGTCAATCTTCCACACAGCCTATTGTGAGAGCAGGTGGTGTCATGCCGTCAGATTCGTCAGGTCGCAACTTGTGCTGCTTCACTCAGCTCAGAATACACGAAAGGGGACTGTTGCCGAGCTGGGTCAGAGGCAGACGTCGCCAAGGACCTAGGCACGCAGCACAGAGGTTCTGTATGTATTATGTCATGGCAGGCCAAGGTTGTCACCAGTTCCACGCTTCCACATATAAAGCTAGCGACAAGCATTGACAGCAAAGGCTCATCAATGGGGTGAATGACATTATGGACAGCCGGGCAGGGCCCACAGCCTGTTTGTGGACGTGCAATGAAGCGCTGTAACGCAAGCTGCCAGGCTTTTTTTTTTGGTAGGCTTCTTGCTTTGGTGGCAGAAGCGCAGCTCTCGTTTAGGCTCAAGGGATGGCCCGGAAAGGCACCAGTTGACTCAATACTAGCAGCATCTAGCAGCTATCATGCCCAATGCGAGTCTGACTTACTGCATAGAACGTCAAAGTTGTGAACGTGACGCAAAACTGCAGAAAACGAAAAACATGGTGAGAAGAACCATCCTGTGTCTATGTCGTTCGGAGTCCTGTTTTCACACGCCATCATGCCCACTGAAACTTAGCCCATTTGCCGTTCTTGTGGCCAAAGATCTAGTTGTAGGTACCTGTGCGGCCAGCTTGACATGGGCCAAGCCCATGCCAAGTCGGTTGTCCAAATCATTGACAAAAGAAAAAAAGATGTGCCAAGGCACGGGAGGGGGCAGCAAGCTGTGTATGTGGCGCCGTAAAATTTGTGGGTCTGCGTTGCAAAAAAGTGGGACTGCAATTCATGTATCCATATGCAGGGAAGATGAAGTGTCAGACGGCCTGTCGCTCGTCACCTCAAGGGCTGCAGAGCGAAGCGGCAGGCCAGCGATTAGCGGTCTCACGAAATGGCATCGACATGCATTAATTGTTTTTTCTCGTTTATGTGTGCTAGCTTCCTAGCTCTTCTCCAGGCTGAATATCACTGGTCGATATCATCGACCACCCAAAAAGTTTGAAGATGACTACAGTAGCTTGGACAAGGCCGAGCGATCTGTGCCTTTTGTAAAGACGGTATGAAAAACGATGTTGGTTGCGTGATGCACAGTCACAGACTTGCGTCAACTCACATTTGCTTTCATCAACATGCCCTTTTTTCATTGCTTCCACAGAATGAAGGTCTTGGGAACAGGCTACAACGGGGAGGCGTGGTGTTTGCACGCCTTTCTGCTGACAGTCGAAGATGTCAGAAATTCAATTCAATTAAAGACAGTGAACGAAAGGTGAAATTAGCGAGATGCATACATACTGGCGCGCCTTGGCCGGATCAAGAAGCCAGAAGGTCAAACCTCCAGTGCAGCTGCATAGAAGTTGTGTTGCGCGCAAAGCTGAGGACAAGTTCGCGGTGAAGGCCTTCAAGTTGCGTGGCGTGAGCAGGGACAAGAAAAAGGAGCTAGAAAGCGAAGCCGCGCCTCGTTCGCTTTTGCTTATCGGAGATCTTCTAGGTGAAAGTGGGCATTGTGCGGCTGCTTGTTAAGGAGATCTTCCTAGCCATGGACCATCCACACGTTGCATCTTTGGTGGACGTCTATGAGTCGGATGAGCAGCTATTCTTGGTCATGGACACTTAGCAAGCCAGATTCCCTCAGCCCCAGTCAAAGCCAAAGTGTTCAATGGGTGGCCCAAGGAATGCATGCAAGGTGGTGAGTTGTTTGATCGCAGCCGAGCTCAGCTTTTGCGGCCTTCAGGGTCTTGGAACAGTTTCCAGAAGCGGATGCGCATCCCAGGTGTAGTAGAGCGGAAGCGCTTCTCAGAGAAGGATGCCGCGAACGCTGTTTACCAGGCTTGGCAAGGCCTGCTGGCTTAGCGTAAAGAGAACACCATGCCTGATCAGATGCTGCTGGCGGTGAATTATATCCACAGCCATGACATTGCCGCTTGCCAGCGAGCAATGTTCACAGCTTCGTTTGCCGTACTTGCAGAGCGATGCCCACAGGTGAGTAAGGTGAGTAGTGGAGCTAGCGGAGCTGGTCTTGGGGGCCTTGTTTTTGAGCCTTTCCTATCGCAAGAATTCGCAAGAAGCAGCGGGCCATGCCTTGGATGGGACCGGGATTTGAAGGCTATGATCACGCCGTCCTCATCTTTCCACCTTTTTGCTTGAAGGTCAGCATCGTAGCAGGTTTGGTCCGTGGTCGCGCTGCTGAATATGAGTTTGTAGACCGCCCTCACAGCTGTTGTCAAGCATGTGTGAAGCAAGGCTACGCCCCTATGCAAACCTGCCAACCTCGCTTGCCGTTCCTCGGGTCCGTGACTTTTCTTTGGCGGGCTGAGCGTGCATTGAGGTCCATCGCGACATCAAGCTGGAGAACTTCCTCTATGAAGCCAAGGCCCCTTATCCTCCCCATTCTGTTTGAAGAGGTGCGCAGGGTGCATAAACTAGAGATTTTCACTGCCGGGCCAGGACTCTGATCACCTGAAACTGATCGACTTTGGGTTCAGCTGCTTGGCTTAGTGGAGATCAGTGCAGTGGGCCGGTCAGTGGATTGCACGCTTTTATGTTGGTGCGCAGCAGGCAAGATATGGCAACCGAACACAACAATGGCGGTGAGCTGCGGCACGTTGGCGTATGTTGCACCCGAGGCCGACAGGATCAGGTCACAGTGGCGAGCTTTTGGTGCAACCTGACACTTGCAGGTACTCGACAAGTCCTACACTTCGCAATGCCACGGGCTCAGCGTGCCGCAGAAGATGGTGGTTCAATTGGGAATTCTAGTGAAGTACAGCATCTTGAATGGATGCAGCCCCGTGGCCGCCAACAAGCGGCAAGCATGTGGTTGCAGCATGTAGCAGCAGAGTCATGTGAAATGTGCTGAGGTGACCTTTGGAGCTTGGGAGTTGTTTCGTTCGTCCTCCTGTTCGGCTGCTTGCATGACCTAAAAGCATGAGATATACCAGATTGCATCTAGACCATCTCCACAGACCATCTGTGACTTTGATGACGCAAGCTTCAACATGTCAAAGGTTAGATGCGTTTCATGCTCGATTGTTCAAGATTCTAGTTGTGGAAGGTTACATGCCATTCTCTGGAGCAGAAGCGAAACAGATCCGTGACATCAAGGACAGATTCAGCGGTATCAGCGAGCATTTGGGGCTAGCTTGAAGCTAGCGGGTCTGAATGGCACATTCTGCTGTTGAGGATGGCCACTTTACGAAGAAGCAGGCCGACGTGTGCTACGATCTTGTGAGGGCTTCTGTGTGCTCCCTTCCTTTCAGGCGATATGGAACAAGGTATCCGCCGAAGCAAAGGCCACAAATGCGCGGTAGATCGCGGAAGCATGCGCCTGTGTGTGGCAGTGGTAGACTCCAGGATCTTAGACTCAATGAAGGTCATGTAGATGAAAGATACCAGTAGCTACCTGCTCTCAGTCTTGAAGTAAAGCTTGAACGGTCAATGCCGTATCGAATAGTCTCATGCTGGTATATTCTGGTGCTCCGCAACTGCACCCTGAAGGACTTTGTCCAGAAACTCCTGGTGGTTGACCCTGACTTTCGACTAACGGCTTCGAAGGCCAAGCGGGCGACGTTTGTAAACACTTGGCTTGCGGGCGGTTCTCGTGCTTCGCTCGCACGGGTCCTTGAGCCGCAGCAAGTCAGATCCGGGCCTTTTCTCAAGTCAGCACGACTCCTGGTGAAGGCATTGAATCATCGATGGCTTCAAACGCGGGATCAGAGGGTGACTTGCCTTCGTCAATCAAAACCGTTCTTGCATCAACTGTATCCGCGAGGGCTCTTGCGAATGCTTCTTTTGTAGACGTGCCGCTGGATGCAGCTGCTCAGCCGCAACATGTTTTGTGTGACAAGGAGAATGTCATCGACCAAGCAATGATCGAAGACCTGTGCAACTTTGCCAAAGTGTCCTGGCAGAGCGATCTCGTGGTACATGAAGAGGAATTGGTGATCGCGTCCTCGTTTGACGCTGGCAATGAGGTTTCTGTTTTCCGTCGAGCCTGCCTGGGCGTGATGGCATGGTCGCTCAGCGTGGAAGAGCGAAGCAAGGCGGGATCAATTCACCACACAGAACAGAAAGTCTGCAGCCTTTTGGCCTGCTGCATCCTAGTAACCTAGTAACTCCTAGTGCATCTTCTGCCAGGTGCGGGATGCCTTCCTGGAAATTGACAAAGACCGGAGCGGGACCATCACAATCAACGAGCTGCTTTGCCGATATTGCCGGTGTGGTAGACGCCCATCTGTCGATTGCAAACTAGGCGCTTTGGAAGAACAACCCTCACACGGGGTGTAGACACGTCAAGCCCACGAGCGGTGAGCGGCGAGCCTCCTTCCTCACGAACCAGCGAGGCAGAGGCAAACTGAAGAAGGAAATGTGGGAAGTGCTGAGGTTCAAGCTGGCTGTGGAGAAAAACATCCAGATGGATGATGCAACTTTGGAGAGCCCTGGCAGGTTCAGGCAGCGACCATGTATTGGACTTCTGGTCTTCGTGGGTATTGAGGCAGTTAGTGCTGATTATGCTGCTAGATCGGGTATGCAAGGAGTGCCTTCAAAGCTTTGGATGCCAACCACAAGGACCGGCCTTCCGCAGGTACTGCGTGCAGTGCCAAGAATTGGCAGAATTGGTCATGGGACACGTGTCTTTAGGATGGTGGCTTTGCGGCAGGACGAAATCAACTATCGGGAATTCCTGGCAGCTATGGCACCTCCGCAGCAGGAAGAAGTTTGGAGCCTTGACACTTTGGGCCTTGGCGAATGACATGACGTAGGACAACTCAGGTGTCGTCAAGGATAGCGCTCCACGATGACCTTCTGAAGGCGGCACCGGGTCCTGCAATCCGTTTAGGGATTCCCAAGACAAGCAAGTCCCAAGCATTTGAAAGTGCTGTCTCACCGTAAGACTGATGTAAGAAGGGTGCACAGCCCTGGCAGCTCATTTCAGCTAAATTCATGGTGTTGCAAGTGGTGTCGATGGCGTGTTCAGCCCTGCCTCGCCGGATGACAAAAAAAGTGATACCACTTAGCTAGTTTTGACACTCCTTGTTTTCTTTTTTAACGGCAGTGTCACTGAACCCTGTACTGTAGCTGCAGAATGTGGAACCTACGAGGCAGTGGGAGGCGAGACCTTACAGTCACCAAGATGCACAGCACACAGTGTCACTGAATCAGCCTCTGGCCACAACCTTTAAGAACACATGGTTTCAGTTGTCACTCGGGCTCACGTACAAAGACTCCTGTTCCATGAGCTGAGACGTCTGAAAAGACATGTGGAAAATGGTGATTTGATGTCTTTGCGTCATGCCAAGCACATTCTTCATGCCTTCTCGGAAGTGGCCTGTCCGGAAATCTTGCAACACACATTTGGGCACAATGCGCTGCAACTCTTGGGCGGTCTGGCAAGGGGTTGCGAATGAAGGGGGCTGTTTTTGTCAGGTCCTGTAGATGGGTCAATAGCAGATGCTTGGGCGATTCAGAGATTCGCCGCCAGGGTAGGCGAGCGGGAGTTCGCCGGATGGAACAGTTACACACTCTGAAATGCCACTCTGGCCCTGTAAGCGCACAGGCACGGACGCTTCAGCAGGCAAGAATGTCACACGCAGCCTGCTTGAGCAATCAGGAAGATTTGAGTAGGGCGGCAGGAAGAGGTCTGAGGCGAATTTGCTTGACCTCGACAGCTTTTACAATCCGATAAGAGAACTGGACGCGGCCAGAATGCCGATGCATAGCAGGAAAGTAAATGTAATCATGGGAAAGGAGCACAGATAGGTCGAGGCTTTGCATCCGAGCATATCCGAGCCCGTGCCTGTTGCCCAGGTAGGATCTGCACTGACAACCAACCAACTGCTCATGCGACAGGTGAGCACAGGAAGAAATCTGCAAGTAGAAAATTATTCCGAAGTAGAAGCCACAAAGGTCATGAAATGAAGGCATAGCGTGGGTCGCATGAGGTGAAGAATCTGTCTAGCAGAGTGCAGTCACAGAATCTGATTGGTTGTCACTGATTTGGGACAGGTGGCATTCCGTCGGTTTGATACTGACAACTCCGGCTTCATCACAGTGACTTGTTTGACAACTGGTGGACCTGCACAAGCCTGGTCACATCTGCAGCAATCTAGTTTCGTTCGGTACTTGTAGCTGCATCTGCAGGGCATGGTTGAAGCAGGTTCTGGGGAGTAATTAGGGGGTATAGCGTTTGTGCGATGGCTTTGAGCATCACGCACATGCTGCCGTCCTGCTTCACCAGGCAGAGAACCTCAAGGATGTCCTGGGCGAAACGTTCGAGGGTAACGAGGTGAAAACACTGCTGCGGCTGGGATGCGGATGATCATGTTAGACCGTTTTCGGATGCGATCCTTCCGACCTTTATTTTTACTTGCAACTGCCTTCAAGGAAAGAGGCTGATTTGAAGCATGATGGAAAAATCTCATATGAGGCCAGGACATCATTCAATTCTTTAGGATTTGGCTGCGTGACTGCAGACATTGTATCTTGCAGGAGTGGATCGAGTACTTACGTGGGGGCTATGGCGATGTCAAGCAACATCACGCAGATGCTGCTGCTCCTCAGTCGGCATTTTACGCAACCTTCGCCCTTAGAAGTGCCCTTCCTACTGCTGTCCTTCGTTGATCACGGATCCGTGCTAACCAGCTGCAGTGGTTTCAAAGTGTCCCACACCGCCTCAATCTGCCTCCCTGCAACCCCGCCGCGCACTCGAAAACCACCTCATGAAGAGAGGTATCTGATGCCAGCGTAAGGCTTCCGCACACACGCGCACTCTACACGTGCGTGCCCACACACATAATGTGTCTAAATGTGTCTCAAGCACGATCGCAGATGCGCAACGAAGCACAGCTGCAAATGGCCGAAAGCAGAATCCACCCTTGGCTTGAGCACCATGCGGAAGCTGCGTGGACCCTGCCGAGAATTTGTGACCTCAAATTTAGCGGCGAGAGTTACTACCCATGCTCTCGCCATGGCAAACGTTGACAAGATCTGCGAGCCAGCCGGATGAAAGAGGCGAGCTGACCAAAGCTATCTTGAGCAACCCGAAGCGAGGCGCATCAACGTCACTTGAAAGCGAAGCAGTTCCCAGTGCAAACAAGCCCGAGCCAAATCGAAGAAGCTGTTGGATACGCAGACAAGCCAAGAAGCAAAGAAGTGCCATCGGGGGGAATGAGAAAGAGGTGGGTGGCCAGTAAAAACACGCCGGTAAACGCGGAGAGCAGTTTGGAAATAATAGCGGAACGGTCCCAGTCCGAAGGAAAGGGAAGAACACGTTGGAAACAAGAGCCGCAAGTCCAAGTCCAAAGGTGCAACCTGATCCATCGAGCTACTTCAAAATTCGAGAGAAAGATCCAGGGTCCCAAGAACTTTTAATTTGTGAGGAAGATTTGGACGGACTTTATGTTTGAGAGGTTTTTCTCGTATCCCGATCAAGCGTAGAGATTGTAGCGGAGCCTCGTACTTCCGGGAAAACTGAACGGGCTCTGACATTCTGGTTGCACGAGACTTGGGGGAGTGGTTTCTTCTCTCACTTACATATAGTTTTCATGACTTTTCATGAGTTCCCTTTTTTCCTATGGAAACTTGTTTAAGCCATTGGGAATTCCTCTAGAAAAGTAAGTAGAAGATCGTTCAGCCTTGTTTATGCATTCTGTTGCTGCTGACGAGGTTTTTACACAGCCCTGTTCCTCTTTCGCTTGGCAATGTCGCTTGTTTGCGCCCACCCTGGAAGTCTCACTGCTTTGAACCCCCCAAAAACCTTCCAGCAACAATCCCTGAAAAGAAGCTATTATCTGTGGCATTTAGGGTCGGTCAGCGAGTTTGTGCGAAATTTGTTTGCAGATGCAGACCTTTGCCCGACACTGCAAAGGCTCGGGTGATTGACGTACACTTAGAGAAGGAGGCGATAGCTTCGGCAGCTTGAGTACTAGTGGAGAGCCAAAATGTCAAATGCAGCGGAGGAGCACGCAGGGCGAAAGAGAAGCAAGCCCCTGGCTATCCGAACAAGTGTAGGCGGCCATCTTGCGAATTAGTTGGATGTGAGGTGTTTCGTGCTTGGTTGCAGGCCAATCGCCTCTCCTCAACATACAGCCGGAATCAAGGCCGCCTCATGGGCTGCACGTACTTTTGAAATGGAGGAGTTCAAGCATTGTGTAGCAGGACTGCCGGTGTCGTAGAGGAGGACATCAACCTCGCCACCTCGCGCGTGGAAGTGCCATGCGCACAGGAGTTGCATGTTCACATTGTTGCTGTGAGCAGGGCTTGAGAGCTGTATCTTCTGTATGGCCGCCTCCTGCCGCCTCCAACGCAGGAAGAACTGGACCAGGTGCGAGTGGAACACCACGTTTGCTGTTCTGATGGGTGCCGCGTCCAGTGAGCGGTCAGCCAAATACAGCGGATGTCATCCAAACATGTCGGAAGGGATGTGAGGGAAGCGAAGGCAGCAGGTTGTGTGCTTAGATATGCATCGTCCTGAGCTTTCTTGACCTATGTGCCTTCCTCCTGTAGTGGCGACATCCAGCCTGAGTTCTGGCCTGGCCATCGTGGCTAGCGTCAAGTAACCTTTCTGTGTTAGAAGTATCTGGCGGTGTCGCGCGTCTCTTCCCCCGAAACTTTTGTGGCCCTTTAGGTAGGCAGGAAACACACCCTTGATGTCATGTGTTGGCTACAACACCGGACGGATGCGGTTCCAATTAGTAGGCTTTTCCCTCCTACGTCTGGCTCGGAATCGATGTGCAGAACAGGGGGTCCTCCGCCCACGCGGCGCAAACGAAACCGTGCAGCAAAAACTTCCCAGCTTGTACTGCAGCCTGCTTCGTGTCTAAGCTAGAGCTGGTGCCTGTTGACTCGGATGTGAACGTTGCGGCAGGAGCAGCCGCATGAAGCCGTAAAATGATCACAAGAAGCTACTGCTATAGCGGAGCAGACGTGCAAACAGCAAGCATCTTGACAGGCGGTTGGGCATACCACAGGTCAAGTGAATGTTTGGGCGAGTTGCATGCAGCTGTGCACATGCCTTTTCATCTGGAAAAGTTAGCAGCCGTGTTTGTGGCCACGAGTCAACATGGAACATGCCAGAAGCACCCGGTTGCCATCTGCAGAAGAGTGCATAGCAGAGTTTGACATCGACGCGGATGGGCTGCTATCCCTTAGCGAGCTTGGCAATTGTTTGGACGTAGTTCTGAAGCGAAGTGGCTGCGGTGACGCCTGTAGCAAGGAGTTATCTGGACAGATCCTCGAAGAGTACTCGCTACGGGCAGATGGAGCTCCAGCAGGTGCTGGTGCTTTGTTCCGGCTGCTTCAGGCTGCATCCGACCGGGCATCAGCACGAAGCCGCAGCCCCATCCGGGAAAGGAGCCATGAGAATCCAGGCACTGAGAGCAAGGCATCCTTCAACGCATCAGCGAAGGAAGCACTGCTCCAGGCAGAAGCAGTTTCCTGGGCTGCTCCAAGCACGCTGGCAGCTATTCCCGTGGCATCGGATGACGAAATCCCCACCCTAGACTTTGCCATCTGGCAGAAGGAGCCTCAAAGGGCTGTCAAGTTGCTTCGCGATGCATGTCAAAAGGTGGGCTTCTTTTTTCTTGTGGACCATGGAGTCACGGATGCCGTGCTGGAGGCCGGAGTGCGCCTTGTTGAGGACTGGATTTGGGGGAAAAGCTTTCAGGTACGGTATTCATACGTTTTTGAATTCAGCTTTGGCTAGATGAAGGTTCAGATCTAGGTCAGTAGGGCTTGCAGCTGAAGAGCCGCGTTGCGACCTAAGAGGACTTCGGTAACCTGCCCCATGAGACCAAGCACAAATATCTCATGGACCAGGGAACTTTTCCTGGCGGTACTGGTTACCTTCCGCTACATAGTCGGAAGCTGCCAAAAAGACCGAAAGGCAATGTGGTTGAGGCATTCATCGTCAAACGAGAGCACGGCCCCAGAAACATCAAGTTGGACCACATGCCATGGCCGGACGAACTCGGCAAAACTTGGAGGGAAGAAGTGGAGAAGTATGCATCGAACATGGAGCTGCTTGCGTCAAAGCTGCTGCCATTGTTCTCCTTAGCTCTGGGAGAATCGCAGTCCTACTTGGATGCAGCTTTTGGCTCGCCGTTGTGGAGGCTGAGGCTATCTCGATATCCTGCATGCCCAGGCCAGCCGATGGCTGAGTCAGGACGTCCTGCTACAAAGCATTACAGTTCATTCTGTACAGTGAATTTTCAGTCTGGGAAAGCGGGCAGGCTGCGAGTTCTGTGCAGGGACGGGTTGGGGGATCAAGGTCTGGGGGCTAAGGGAGAGCAGAGCCAGGTGCGAAGAGTAAGAATCGCCAAGATTTCGTTGTATGTCATTGTCTTGCAGATGATCTGCTTCTTCGCGAGGCTACCAAGATGGCCAGTACGGCATTGCACCGCATGTTGACACATCCTTCTTCACCCTGCTGCAGCGCTCTGAGATTGAGTCCAGCCTGGTTGTTTCTTGGCTTTGCACAGCAAAGGCAAAGAAGGCCTTAGGTTGCTGCTTTCTTGACATCTTTCATTGAGATCCTGCTATCCCAGTGACGGTTCGTCTTGGCAGGCAAATCGATTTGAATCACTTAGCCTAGCCTTGTTTTGCTAGGACTGCTTGAAGCAGCTACAATTCAGGAAACCATGCCAACGATGATTTCTAGCTCCTGTGAAGCTGATCTGACTTGGATGCGTGTTCTTCCTGCGTATGCACTAGCCGTCCATTTCAGTCATCGATGCAGGTTTGGGCATTCTGCTCTCAGCGTTGGGTTCGTGTACCTGCGAAGGCAGGAGCTCTGTTAGTCAACGCAGGCGAAATCCTGCGCCAAGTTTCGAACGCGCCTCGGTTTGCAAGTCTCCTGGAACAAGCTCTACCTTTTCATGTGAATTTTCGGAGACCATGTCTTGACCTACCATAGCATTGCGAGGACACTTTTCAGTCTGCGCGGCACTACGTGCTGAATGCCAGCGTGCCTTACCTGATCAATCCTAATCAGATTTTTCTAGTGAAGTAGCGTGGATTGTTTGCTTCATCTAAACCCCGCACAGACGATCAGGATCATCCCCGATGTTCTCTGGCCTTTTTCTTCAACGCAACGGCTGACTTCAAGAGTCTTTGCAGATTGAAGCGCAATGCTATCAAGGATTGTTTGGCTGTGGAGGTTGTGGTATTGTTGCTGTGAGCTGGCCGCAGCAAAATCAAGGATGTCCGTCGCAGCTGGATGTGGAGGAGGACCTGCCAAGTATCCTCCCAGTTCTTACTTGGACAGCCAGGGCGTCGAAGCTCGACTGGATATTTGCAAGATTTTGCAAGCCCTCTAGCCTGCGCGCTTCTATGCAGCTTTCTTCCGAGGGGTACGGCTGGCATAGGATTCGAGGGGCAAGCCAGAAAAGACTTTCTTTCGGTTATCTTGCACGTGTTTTGTGATACAGCTTGAAATGAAATTTCGCGACATCATCGCGAACATTCAAGCTACTCCTGCCTGCTAGTGCATAAACCACGATTACGCTGAATACATAGATCGGTAAAAATCATAGCTGCTTTTGTAGGCGGCCCAGGCTGATTGGAGGATAGCACGGGCGGAGTGATTGATATCATAGGAGAAGCCCGCAGCTGCTAATAGCTGCTATGTACATCCAACATGTGTCGAACAGGCCACTGTTTTCATGCTGCATCATCGCGAGCGCTGCTCTACTTATGATTTCCCTCACTAACTATCATCAACGTGGCCATCTTCTTCTTTGGCAGAATAGACTTGCACGTCATCGTCATCATCAGCAGCAGCGAAAGCAGCAGCCTCATCCAAAGCAAGCACGTCGTGATCAATTGAGGGTCGTCACCTGACATGTTTCCCTGGGCTCATGGAAGCATGGTAGCGCATGTCATCCATCACCATCCATCGTGAATGTTTCTGGGACAGGCCACAGGGGCATCTTCTCACGTATCATGGCTACTCTTTTCCTGAGCTGCCGATTTTCGGTTTTGTCGTCTTCTAGTGTCCAAGTCCACACACTATCTTCATCACCGCCCTCATTGCCATCACCACCACTAGCACCACCAACCAGCACCACCAACGAGCAGCAGCAACAGCAGCATCATCATCATCATCATCATCAGCATCATCGTGGTCACGATCCTTATTACTATCTTTACGGAGAGGCTGCGACTTCGGTCTTGCATCTCCTTGTCGTCTTCCTTCAGCCTGGTACTTGCGATTGTTGTGTTTGTACCTGGACTGCATCTCCACTAAGAATGTCCATGCCCATTTTCCTGCTTGTCCAGGATTTGTGACTTTTTTGAGGGTGTCTTCCCTCCTTTCGTCTGCGCATTGTTGCCTGCTTCTTCTGTTCGTCTTCCTCCCCTTCTCTCTCCCACCTCCTCCTAATGTCTTGCCACGGCTTCCTCCTCGTGATCCTCCAACCCCTCGTCGACGTCGTCGTCGTCCTCCTCCTCCTCCTCCTCCTCCTCCCATCAACACCCCCAATCCCATCTGCTGTCGGTTTGTTCATGCATCATCCAGACATTGTGTCGCCGTTTGCATGCGTGTCATTTGCTACTAGCAGTCAATCTTTTCTTTGATTTTGTTTCCATGAATTAGCAGACAGTGGTGACGTGGCATTGTGTGCACCTGCTGTTTTTGTTGACCTTGGCTTGCCATTCAATGCATTGGCGGCAGCATGAGGTCCAAGGAGAGTGAGCCGTACCACTCCAGCGCGTTTACTCTGGCATGTGCGAGATGTAAAAAGGCATGGTCGCCTCACCTTCTGCAAAGTCTTCAAACCCATGGGCAGCGGCCTGCCCTGTCAGTGCATCGTACTACATCATACAAGGATTGTTTGCCTTTTCGATGGGGATGCAGCTGGGTATATGTACTGTGTACTGCAGTTTTCGGCGTGCCAAGGTTGATGCTAACCTGCGCCTGGTGTCGCGCGCCTTGTTGGCCGAACTTCCAGAGGAGTGATGCAGCAAGTCCAGCTTTGGGTGCCGCATGGCAGCGCACTGTTTTGCTGGATTTCTGTCGGGACTTTCCATTGCTAGAACGATAGAGGTTCAGACTTGGGTAAGCAACAAATTGCCTTTAGAGCTTTGAAGCAGCTATTGGTAGTCAGTAGTAGCTAGTCGGATTTCAGGACAACAGATTGGTGAGTCTGGATGATTTCGTTTGGCCCTGAGGCATGTGAGTTTTGAAGCAATGAGCCTTACCCCTTTCACAAGTCATCCCCGCCGTGAGAGCCGTGCAGAGTTGCCACTTTGAGGCAACTGGCCCAAGCAAACTGGCAACAGGATGCCAGACGCATAATGAGTCAAAGGTGTTACTGTTGTGCACAACATACATCTGTTACCATCCGTCCGTGGATGTCAATGCCGCGCCTATCCAGCCTTGATCATCTAAAACATCCACATGCCGCTGCCTTGGTAGCTATGGCCTGCAGTAGCCGCAGCAAGCGGCAGGGTCCGAGTTCCTTGGCAACCTTGGCTTGAGAGCCACGCTCGCACATGGATGTGTGGTATGGAGCAAGTGCATCAATCCGGGGAGGCCAATGGCTAGCCAGAACGATGATTGGCATCAAGACGCAGTGACAGAGGCAGAGATCGAAGGCAGTAGCAGCGCGTGCACTCGAACAATTTCTAACACAGCTCTGTACCGTGACAGGGGATGGCAGCGATGAATTGGCAACGCTTCTTGGCACATCTCCGCCGTGATAGTGTTTAGCAGTTTAGAACTGTGGTTGGTGAGCCTTGTCAGACAGGACAACCATTTTTCGCAAATGCCAAGGACTGCCCTGGTGGCTGACACCTCGCAAGGCTGCTCAGCAACTACCCCTTTGCTGCAACATAGCTGATCCTCCTGATTTCTGTTGATTATCTGCGTGCCAGTGTGACCAACAGCACTACAAGAGAAATGCAGCGGAGCGGGTGTGCCTGAGCCTGCTGCAGGCCAACTACCGCTCGCCTTCATGAAGCAGCAGGATTCGCACCTCAGCCCAACGTCAGAGCTTAGTTGCTTTTGGAAACTCATGCCGCGCAGTCACTGCACTTAACGTTTACTGAGCAAATATAACAGCTCAAACGCGAGCGGCTCCGTGCTAAAAAATCAGGTTGTTACTGTCACCAAGACACTGGAATCCCGTGATGCTGCCGCTCAAGCGTGGACTAGGTCCGGCCAGGTCCGGCTACTATATGAAGCTGTCGTTTGCTTCAATGTGCGTGGCTTCAGCACTTCCTCTTGTGCAGGCTTTCCGGCGGTCTTCCCCAAGCTTCCGCACCTGTGCCAGTGCGGAAGCGCGGCAGAAATGCTTTTGAAAGCGAGTGCGTGACTGTTGCCAATCTGCAAAGCAGGCTGGCTGCATTATGTGAGTCAGCTTCTGGTTGACGATGTCATGCATATGTTTCATGAGCCTCAAGTGTGTCTTCTGTTCTTTCCAGAACCTAGGCCGCGAAGCTTGGCAAGCAGCCAAAAAAAGACAAGCTGGAGAACAAGTCTCTTCGCTGATCATGCTGAGTGGTGACCGCCTTGTTCACATTGTGTTTCCCAGAGCAAAAAATTGACAAGGGAGCGTGGGGGGAGCATACCTACGACGAGGGGGCTGATAGAAATGACCAGCCGCAGGACATAGCAAGGTCAATTGCAAGACACTCTGGGGCCTGGCCGGGCATTCAGAAGAAGATGGCGAAATTTGACATGGTCCAGCCGATCGATGGAGGCCTCTTAGTGGCGTCCATGCAGCGCCCACCCCCCCCGCGACCATGCCCTGCCACTCTCGTATGATGGGGTGGGTGGAGGTGTCAGGCTTGGCTAGTGCCGCCCTGGCCGGTGCGTGAAATTGTGTGAACGTCTTGGCGGTCGCCGCCTGGCAAGGCAGCCAGGCGGAACAAGAAGTCAATCGTCCGCTGCCTGGTTGCTTTGAAGGAAAGCCCTGGTGGATCTGCCGTCACGCTCCAGTACCAGGAGCCCACCCTACAGGCTCTGCCTGCCAGCAAGCTGGTGTTCCTTTCCCAGACCATCTTTGTGTCGGTCAGCAATGCAGCCATCCAGGCCACACCCCACCAACGAGGTCAGGATGCTCACCGCGCCTGGTGCGTTTCTCTGTGCGGACGCCTTTTTGAAAGGGCAGCCACCTGTTACGGGGTCTGGCATCTGCCGGACCATGTCACAGCAGCATGGTCACGGCTGACCTGGTCGGGCGAACCTTCTAATTATTAAAACACGGGCGCCTGCAGTCCAAGTTCCTGGCCCTTTTCCAGGAGATGCATCTACGCTCTCGCCGCTCCTGGCGTTCGCCCACTACCTTCCTCATGCCTGGGTCCTATACATCAACAACAGCACGGTACAGGCGGCCTTGCAGAAGGGCTAAAGTAAGGACGCAGGAAACAGGTCATCAGGGTCAGGTCATCAGGCGTCAGCGGGATGCTGGCTGCCTTCCGGGCCGTGGCTGCCCGCCTACCCGTTCAAGCTCATGTTTGACGGCATGTCGGGGCCGACCTTTACCTAGCTGTTGTGTCTTGACTGGCAGGGGTGAACCGATGTTGAGTTGGGGGTAGGAGTCGACGGGTGCCCATCCCGCTGCGTTGCGAATTTTGGGGGTGTTTGCGTCCTCGAGCGGAACGACGCCAACTTCGCACCATGCCGCAGAATGAGTTGGCACCCCCTGATAATGATGGCAACGAATGTTTGCGGGAGTCGCTCTCCCGTCTATTTCCAGACATACTTTGGGAGTTCGGCAGGGGTTCAGGGAAAGACATGTAGGAACATGCTGGCTGCAGTGTCCTGTTGCAGCTTGCAGCTTTCAACGGCGGGGCCCAAAGTCAAAGCCGGGGCATGGTAGCCTGGTGAGGGGGGACCCTCGTTATACATGAAGATCAACAGCCCGCATGCTTGTCTAGAGATGTCTAGAAAGTGCCCAACCCCAAGCATGCCTTTGGGTGAAAGAAGCCCCATCCCCCACAAGGGGGCAAGGTTGGTATCTGTTTTGGCAGATGTTGTATTTGCTTCTGTAGTACGAGGACAGACCGCATCCCACAGCATCGTGCGGCTGTTCGCCCGTATTTCAGCCCCGTAGCCGTAGAGAGCGCGTCTCATGCCTGCTTGAGTTTTGGGGGGCGGGGGTTGCGCCCTCGAGTGGCACAACGTCAACTTCGCAGCACGTTGGACAATTGGTCGGCGCACGTGTTGCTACCGCGGTGTGCGAACGACATGTTACTTGCGATTCCAGGCGATATGAGATTGGCAGCTGAATGCCCGGGTGGGCAAAGCCCGTGTGTGAGCTCACGTGGAATACGTGGATAGGAAATGGTGCAGGGTGAAAAGAGAAAATGGACGACAACGACGCAACGGCAGCAAACAGAGCCATAGCCAAGGTGTATCGAGACATGCAAAATGCCTCTGCTCAAAAACGGCCGGGCCATACCTTGACAGGATGTGACATCAACTCCACACTTCAGACTGCACACGACAATCAAAACTCTGACTGTATTGTTCTCGAGTTTCCAGTTCATGGCTGAGGTATTTTGTGGTCTTATCAGGAGCTATAACCCGGCACCACCGCCTCGTTGCGAGCATGGCTCACGCTCCTAGAGAGGGATGCCACTTGAAGTTGATGCACTTTCAACCGCTTACGGCGTGCCAGGCGAGAAAGTCTGGATTCATTTATTGCCCCGATGTGAAGGCATCCTCCGGACAGGCACAGGGCCCGGGTAAGTAAAAGCTGTGACAGAGCAATCTCTTGGGCCAGGATGTCTACGTCTTTGAAAGCGTGTTGCAGTCCGGTATTGCCGGACCTGGTGACCTTGTGGCCTTCTTCATCCACTGGTCCGACAAAGGTCTGCCGCAGGAGCGCAGTGGCGAAGCAGATCGAAGCAGCCTCATGGATTGTGAGCTTGAACAAATTTCGGGCAGGCATCACATCCGCTGATGCGACTGAAGTGTGGTGTGGATGGTCAATACGCGCTGTTACCGGGCTGATGTATTCATGTCTGAGAAATAACCATCGCAGATGCTATCTTCGTAGGGTGCTGATGCATGCAAAGTGTTGAGCAGGTTCGCTTACATCCCAATGAGGGAATGTAAAGGCCTCAAAAGCAATATATATATATATATATGCTACCCCCCTGTTATCTACCATTTTGGGCCTGTTCAGTACACATTTACAAACATTCCATGGCTTTTATGAAGGAGTAACAGTAATAGTAATACTGACAAGGACCATGACCGTTTCGCGGTTTTCCAGGAAGGCTTTTGTGAAGGAGTAACAAAAATAGTAATACTGACAAGGACCATGACCGTTTCGCGGTTTTCCAGGACGGCTAGAATACCTTATGGAATACCTCGTATACATGACACCCCTGCATACCTCCGAGAATTCACCCATCAAATTGTAGCTTACTAAGTAAGAGATTTCAGTTCAGGAAATCAGGAAGTTAGGAGACCAGCCTGCAGAATACCTGAAAAGAATATAGAGGAATATAGAGACTATATACCTTAAAGAATTTAACATAGAATGCTTTTCGCAATACCTCATAGAACACACCGTTTATACCTTATTCCTAGCTTGTTGTGTACACAATCAAATACCCTTACCTTATAGAATACCTTCCAGAAAACCACCTTTACAGATGGAGTCCTTATACATACCTTATATAATACGTTCTGGACTATCCTATAGCGTACTCTATCATATAAGGCAATACCTCTGCTACGATTTTTGCTATCAAAGTATATAGAGCGGGTATTCTGTAAGGTATTCTATAGGCTATTCTCCTAGGTTTCTGAATTCCTTCATCTGAGAGCCATTCTTCAATAAGCTAGAATTTAATGGCGAACTCTCAGATCTTGGGCTCCTCCTGATTTTCCCTATATAGACATTATCTATAGGGCATCATGTAGGGTATTCTACAGTGTATTCGATGAGTAATCTACAGGGGATAAAGAGGGTATCATACATACGGGGTATTCTATAAAATATTCCATAGGGTATCTCAGATGGTATTCTACAAGGTATGTATAGGGTATAGAGGGGGTATTATGCATTCTATGAGGTCTTCTAGAGGGAATTCTATAGGACATCATACACGGTATTCTATAAGGTATTCTGTAACGTATATACAAGTGGTAGTATAGAAGGTATTCTACATAGGTATTGCATAGGCTAAGGCTGCGTATTATAAGTAAGATTAGTGAATGGGATTTCGAAGCGGAGTTTTGAAGTTCAAAACTGAGTTTTGAAGTTCAAAACTCATGGATTCAAGATCCAAAGATTCAAGATTCTGGGGAAACTTTTTCCTGGAATCTTGAAT